CTTCAGAACAAATTTCAAACCTCAAATCCTTCCGCTGTGGTTCCACTCAATTTTTGAAAATTCACTTGCTGATCCCAGAAGGACAAACTGAAAAAATCCGCAAAAAATTATCAACAAAACCGATTTGAAAAATAGCTCTGCAGCACGCGTAGACACGATCTTCCTTTGTCTTCAGAACAAATTTTCAACCTCAAATGAGCCGCTTTACTACAAGGAAGTTTTCGTAAAATCGCTTGCAGATTTTGAAGAATAATGTTTTTTTTTTAATCTAGAAAAAATCATCTTTGTTATGGAATTGAAAGTGATTCAGCAGAACCCGTAAACACAGTCTTCTTTCGTCTTCAGAACAAATTGCAAACCTCAAATCCTTCCGCTGTGGTTCCACTCAATTTTTGAAAATTCACTTGCTGATCCCAGAAGGCCAAACTGAAAAAATCCGCAAAAAATTATCATCAAAACCGATTTGAAAAATAGCTCTGCAGCACGCGTAGACACGATCTTCCTTCGTCTTCAGAACAAATTTTCAACCTCAAATGAGCCGCTTTACTACAAGGAAGTTTTCGTAAAATCGCTTGCAGATTTTGAAGAATAACGTTTTTTTTTAATCGAGAAAAAATCATCTTTATTATGGAATTGAAAGTGATTCAGCAGAACCCGTAAAACACAGTCTTCTTTCGTCTTCACAACAAATTTCAAACCTCAAATCCTTCCCCTGTGGTTCCATTCAATTTTTGAAAATTTACTTGCAGATTTCAGAAAGGCAGATTTAAAAAATCCACAAAACTGACTCAAAAATGACAAAACAGGACTGGTAAACACACTATTTCTTCGCTCTCGGAATAAATTTCAAGCCTCAATTCCTGCTACTTTACTACCAAACAGATTCCTAGGCAGAAATAAAAAAAAAACCAAAAATTACCCTTAGGGTCCATTTAAAATTCCCTAGGAAGATTTGTAGACGCACAGGTGCTTCGTCCTCAAAACGAAAATGCAGTAAAATCCTGCTACTTCAATGGTAATAAATTATTGAAAAATCACTTGCAGCATTTCGAGGAGCAATTTTGAAAAAATTGCAAAAAGTCACCCTCATCAACAGGAAAATGCCTCGCAGGACTAGAAGACACACTTTCACTTTCTCCTCAAAACAAAGTTCGAACCTCAATTCCTGCTTCTTTGGATACACTCAAAGCTTGAAGAATCACTTGCAGATTTCAAAGTGAAAATTTAAAAAAAATGCCAAAAATTATCCTGAATGGGGATTGAAAAAACAATTTTCGTAGACTCGTCTCCAGGAAAACCTTTCAAGTCTCGATTCCTGCTACTTTGGTTACTCCCATTTTTTTAAGTCCACCTGCAAGAACCAGCACCAGCAGTTTCCTCCAACATTCCTATACCCAAAAAAACTCGTCCCAGAACCGATTAAACCCTCGTAATAGACGTGGATGGTTTGGGGCATCAAACCTCAAATTGGGTCCTCCCTAGCGACGAACTCCACTGTCTTTTCCAAGGGAAAATGCCATTCTCTCCTTGGTGACGAAGCCGACTGGAAAAAGTGCTTGGATACCGAAAGTGTAGAACCGATATCGAGTAGACGGGGCCTGGAAACAGGCCCCAAACAATAAATAAGAAAGAGGAAAAGTGCTTGGGAAATTATTTTTGGACAGTCGGAGAAAAAATGCCCGGCCAGGTGCGACAGCTGTTTTGCGCTATTTCGGGGATGTACCAAATGTTTTTCGAAAACATGCACGGCGATGAAACCGATGCACTTTGCCTGCTTGATGCCCTCTACTCATCGGCTAGATATACATGGAAAAACCAAATAAAAACCCTTCTCAACCGGAATACTGTAGCCTTTGGAGTGGGCCAAACCTGCAAATCCCCGTCTGGGCAGGGTTTTAATGGGTTTGGCCCTGCCCAACTTCTCCGGCACTGGTTTATAACAAACGAAACGCTCATTTTTCTGTCGGAGAGTTTAAGCTGTGGCCAACACATGGTCTGGAACACGTGTCCCACGAATCACCAGGCTCGAAATAACGTCGCGACGCCGGCGGCGCTAAAAGAACTACACCTTTCCTCACACGGCACAGGTCGACGCTTTCGAAAATAATCTACACCAAGCGGGCCAAGGAACCTCAAACAAATGCAACACCCTGTATGATGTGGGGCCCAAATTGCGATCCATCCTAATAAAAGATAAAGAGATCGACCTCCTCCTCCTCCTCCTCCTAGCGGGATCGCTTTGCACGTGTGCAATGACGATGCTGCACGTGGCTTCGTTAGTTTAATGAGACCGCTTTGGGCTGCACGTGCAAGCCGAAAATCCCCAAAAGTGCTTTATTGCAAGGGGGAACGTCCTGGCAAAGGAAATGGGGGTTTGGGGAGTTGGGCGGCGTCAGCCTGACCGCAGAAAGGGATTTTTTGCCCTATTTTGAACCAAACCTGGCTGGAGCGGGCTCATCCCGCTCCTCTTCAAGAGTGGAGAAACACGAAGACAACAGTATAAATAAAAATGAAAAAATTCCGAGCCCAAATACAGTCAGGGGCCTCTTTTGTGGCGAAGCCACACCAACCAGCTAAGCCCAAAAAGGAAAAATCCGGGCGCATCCGCCTTTTAGCCTGTTTAATCCGCATTCACCTCTGTGTCAGGTTTCGACAAAACTGCAATAACTTCGCCATCGGGTTTACCTCGGTCCTCCACTGGAAGACCGACAAATCAACTGATAACCCCCCCCACTCGTTCCCGAAAAATCCATTATTCATAGAACAATAATACCTGTTGGAAATGCGCTCGATATGCTCAAACGAGCCGAGCGCTAATCGACTGCTAGAATAGAACGCAATTGAAAGTCACCCATCTAGGCCAGGTGCTAGCGGGCAGACCACGTAAGATCCTGCCCATAGGGTGCGACTTCCAGACCAAAACCCCTTGACGAGCCCCCATGGGGCTCCTGGGCTATTATAAATAATGGGAAATAAACCCCGCAGGAAAGGTGACCGGCGGTCAGTTTTCGTTCGAACGCGAACACCAGCACCACACACCTGGCCTGATATTGATCCAGAAGAAACGCAGTTCTTTGTTTCTATTGGAATGTTTTGTTGGTAACTGGATCGAGGAAACTTGGCAAATGGGGTGCGCTAGCAGTGCCCCGTTGGTCGAGCAGGGCAAACACCTGGTGGAAGGAGTGAAGGACACAGCCAATGACACGATGGCCAAGGGCGAGAAGGCCCTACATGGTGAGTAAAAGGCAAAAATATGGCTTTTGCACCTGCACTATCCCCATGCCAAGGTGCTGGAAGGAAGTTTTGATAGTCCAAAAGGCATTAGTGAGTCTGAGATCACTAACCGGGCCCAATACTTTTTTCCTGTTCGGTTGATCATACTAGTACGAGGCTCAGGGGCGGATCCAGCTTTAAATTCAGGGTGGGGTTGTGTAGAAAAAATACAGTCTTCTGTTGTCTATGATATTAGAAAAATTATCGTCGTTTTATGCAAGGGTGGCGTAAGATTATTGCAAATTTTCATGTTTTCCGTCCCGTTTTGCATGTTTCTCGGAAGCAAAATGAGCAAGAACGCTCGTTTTTACATCATTCCAAAGAGAACTAAATGGCCTT